ACATTGTAGCATGATGTTCATGATACTATACTGTAACATGATGCTCTATGTCTTCTTTTGCCTTTACACAAACAAACAAACAAACACCATGTGGGATTAAAGTTTGATTTTATATGAAATGTTTCCTGCTAGTTAAAAATAGACTGTTAACAAGAGCGCTTTCTCGTTACTATCAGTTCTTCTCAAACGAATCATGCTTAAACTGTTAAAGATAAGCTAACAGCAACGTAAGCACAAATAATTAAAGTTTCTGTGTTTCAGGTTTGGATACTGCATGTTTTATAATTTGAAAACAGTTTATATTTACTTCTGAAATAGCATGCCATATAATCAACTCTATCCATCTATATAATTATATTCGTATATTCGTTCATTTATCTATCTATCAGTTTGTCATCTATCTTGAGTAAATCCTTCACCATTAACAAAGAATTAACCGCATATTACTCATTTAGCTATATAAAAGTCATTGAATGGAAATAAGGTTAAAATCAAGTTAAAGTCTTGTTTATTTACTGAAAGGGAAATATTAACTGGTGTAAGATTAAATAAAACTCTTCGGTTAAATCTGCTTAATTAATTTGGCAATTTTTAAACAAACGTTTTGTTTAAATAATATTATATGAAGTAGGACGTAAAATTGATAGAATCTGAAAATTTACTTTACAATTAAAAAAATTCAAATCACACTACATGTACAAATTAGTGTTTATATATTCATAATTTGTTTTATACCTGTTCAACAGATGATGCTTGTAATCTGGCATTAGGGATGGAGTCTGGTGATTTGCCAGATTCTTCTGTTACCTCTACAGTCAGTGATTCTACGCCATCTAGCGGGAAGTTGAATAACATGAATGGATCATGGTGTGTGACAAGGTCGAGCATATTGTCAAAATCTGCTATCTTAACCATTGACTTAGGTTCGGATCATTTCGTCAGTGGCTTTTCTACGCAGGGCCCACCAGAATCTGTGTTTCCAAAGAACTACACTCATATTATTGGCTTTCTCCTTTCTCACAGTCGTGATAATGAAACTTGGGCTGACTATAATAATGGACAAGTGGTCAGTAAAATACGTCTTTAGTGGCTAATTTATAAATATTTCAACCTTTAGGCATTTAGTAGTATGTTAGTTTTATTCAACTTGGAAACTTTAATAGCTTCCCTTGAGAAGTAATGAGAAAAGAATTACAAGCTTACTTAAAATGTTTTATTATATGTATTTGTACCGAGTTAATTGCAAAATCAAAAGCCATGCTTATCGTTTAAAATCAGTTTTAGATTGGCAATATGAGTAATGTGCTTTAGGGAATTGGTTACAATATTTATTTATGTATGGTAGTTAGGATTATTTTTTTGTTGTTAACCACAAAGCTACACAAGGGCTGTCAGTGCTGTCCCCACCGCGGGTAGTTAGGAAATGGCGCAGAGAATTGCTATCCCTGGTTTTAATCAGTTAGAAAAGTTGTTTTCAATCTCGAGAATTGCTACCTTTGATCTTAATCAATTAGAAACGACATTTTCAACGCTGAGAATTGCTAACTCTGGTTTTACTCAGTTAGAAACGTCATCTTTAACCTTGAGAATTGCTAACTCTGGTTTTACTCAGTTAGAAACGTCATCTTCTACGCTGAGAATTGCTAGCTCTTACCATAGGAAGACAAAACCCACTGCAGTAACAGGAATAAACTGAAACTGAATAGCTTTAACAAAGTTTTGGAGACATTTTTTTATTTGTGCTTATCTTTACTTATCAGAGTTCACCATTAATCTACTTAATTAGGAAAATTAAATAGTTCAAGTTGGTGTCTAATCCAAATAAGCAACAAGATTTGTGTTGTTTTGATTTCACTTTAAATCAGTTATGCGTTTGTAAGTTTAAGACCGAGCTGAAATATTTAATCCACTCTTACTATATATATGTAATAACATAGGCGGGGAGGAGGGGGGAAGTGACACAGCGGTATGTCTGCGGACTTACAACGTTAGAATCCGGGTTTCGATACCCGTGGTGGGCAGAGCACAGATAGCCCATTGTGTAGCTTTGTGCTTAATTACAAACAAACAAACATAGGCGGGTTTACGATAACAAAAATTATCGTTTGTTTTGAAATAGGAAAAAAAAACACATTCCATGCAAGTAAAATTAAATATGTTTAAATGTTTGCATGTGGATTAGTTCCCAGTGGCATAGCGGTACGTTCGAGAGCTTACAACGCTAAAAATCGAGTTTCTATACCCACGGTGGGCACATTGCTTAACAGTTGTTACGTATTGGAATTTCAAATGGTCTGTAATGAGTTAATTGATAAATTTTAATTTAGTAGTTAAATTGTACTTTGGATTTAGTATTTAAATATATTCCGATATATAGTCAGTTTATGGTCTTTGCCAACAAGATTGATACACACCAATTTCGTTTTTAACACAAATACGTTTTAGTATGCACACAACAGTGCAATTTACAATAAAAATTATTACAAACAGTGATTTATAAACAAAAGTTTCACAAACTTACAAACAATATAAAGTCTTCTTTCTAGTTTGGAACTTCCTTGATATCTTATCGAGGGTTCACCATGAGCGAGTTGATTACGTGTTGATACAGGTACAATTCACTTAGTAGGGAGCTGGCTAGTACTGCAGTTCTCGCTGATCATACGCATATTAGAGAATGAGTTCCCACCGATGACTTTAGGTAATGTTTTCGTAAAAATAATAATGTCGATGAGAATCCACTGAAGCTAAATGAGTTGTAATGCTCGAATTTTGTAAATGCTATTGGTCAAATATCTGAAGTTTTCTGATTAATAAGCGTTAT